CAAATCCTCTTAGTCTGCTGTTCTTTCTTGACAAAACAAATCAATGCTGCATACTTCCTCTGCACTGTCTCACCCCCCCCCCTCCTATGATGTACCAATCATTTCTTCCTCATCACCTCTGTTTGCCGTCTTTTCATGGATTCTTTCTTCTTTTTCCGACCACATTTTTGACTTTCTCTTGGTGCTGCATCAATACAAACACTCCTAAGAAAGCTCTGTCAAAGTGACTGGCGTCTTCTTTTGTCTGTTTGTTTGTTGTAGAGAAAAGAAGTTCCCCAAAAAAACTCCAGCTAGTTCATCACACATACAGAAACAGCCTGATCTACAGGGGCTCACTACGACGGTGTCTTTGATAAAGAAAAAATACTGAGATTTAGGAAGTTGTAAAAATATGAGTAGTCTTGATTTCAAGACAGAAAAGTCTTAAAAATGGAAATATAAAGTAAAATATATCCAGGTAGCTCGCTGCTCATCTGATATTCCCGTTTAAAACAACATATAGGCTAACCACAGCCTAAAATGACGACGACACACATCCAAAAATATGACAATGAATGTTTGTCAACAATAATTTTTTCACGACAAAGACTAGACGTTGACCTCTAATCTCTGATATTACAAACACTGACAACACATCAGTTATGTTTTAGTTAATTCTAAGATTCATTTATCAGACGCTTTTATCCAAAGCGACAAACATCAGAGAATAAAGGAAACACAAGGGAGGATCTAGAGAGGAGGAAACGACGTCAGGAAGAGCAAACAAACAGCTTTCAGTCCGATCGGACACACAGGTGCTGACAGGAAGTAACCAGAGGCAGAGCACAGTAGGTGTTCATAAAGAGTTGGGTCTTTAGCTTTTTCTTCAAGGTGCAAAGGGACTCTGCATATCGAATGGAGTTTGGAAGTTCATTCCACCACCAGGGGGCCACAGAGGAGAAGAGTCTAGTCAGAGTTTTAAAGATGTGGGACAGCACTGAAATGTAAGTGGGTGTCTGTTGGACGTTAAATAGCTATGATATTTTCATGTCCGTCAATCTATCTGTCAAAATAGAGGCAGGAGAGAGGAAAGGTGTGTGAGCGCTTCGAGTAGTCAGAAGACTAGAAAAGTTCAGCTTTCAAGCTAAAGTTGTTATCTCAAGTTAAACCTTCGATTTCCTGTGATAAGTGGTCGATTTATCGAGTCTTGTGAAGACTCAATTTCAGTATTTATCACAGGTAGGACTTGTAATCCTGATGTTATGGCATCAGTAAATCAAGATTTTGGAAAAACATCTGGTATATACTCGGTACTATAACCGGTGTCTGGACTCATGTCCTCTTACAGATTCCATAAACCAAGATTTTTTTTTCTCTGTGGTTCTCATATTTTGTCCTTCTTTGACTTCCTCCTGGAGCTGCATCAGTAAAAACACAATGAAGCTTTATCAAAAAACGCTGTTCTTATGACTTCCGTCTTTTTCATTTGTTTGTTTTTGAGAATAGAATTTCGCCAGAACCCGGCTGGTCCATTGAGCAACCATTAAGAAAGTCACGCACCAGAGAGTGCTTCGCTCTGCTGAAGGAGCCTGTTGATGCTGCAGCAGTCTCATCTACAGGGACTCTGTTAAACAGCATACCCACGCAGTGAACCAATTAGCATCCTGGTTGTTATACAGTGAGGGAGAGGAGGCGAGGAAGAGGCAGAGCTCTCATCAGTCCTGTCTCATTACCTGCCCGGCTGAGACGCCGTCTCCCACTGCAGCTAAATGAAGCAAGACACTTTAAGAGATGCATACAGGTGCAGCAGAACGACGCTGTCACGCTCACAGAGAGGCGGAGTAAACTGGGGCAGAAACAACAAACTCACCATGGAGTCTAGTCTCTGTGTTCTCCTCTCTGCAGCTCCAGGAAGGAAGACAAACTTTCCTCACATTGTAAACTCCCGAGCTCTGAGGACACAGAAGGCGTCAGTGAATGCATTTATCTGACCGGGATGATTTTGGTCAGTTTCTGCAAAGTGAGAACCCCAGATTTGTTTTTTCTGGATCAGAGTTATTCACACTCTCTCTCTGTTTTTTTTTTACATGGAACCAGTCTGGTGATGCTAACTTTAGAAACATCCACCCAGCTGCCCGGGCTCAGGGTCTGCACGTTCTGCAACAACAGACTCAAATATGAACAGCTGCATTCAGACACTACATCACACGGCTCATGGCCGGCATGAAAATTACAACAAAACCACAATGCACTCCCTCTCTCGACCCTGACTTCACACAGAATTCTTCATTTCCCTCTTAGGGAAATTTGCGTGTGAAGTCTGGGTGAGCTATTGGATGTAGAATTAACCCCGAGCGAGCAGGCGGGGTTGGACATTTATATCCTGCAACCTGTGGGGGACCATTTCATCTTAGTGCATGTAACGAAGCTGCTTCATATCACAGTCATCGCAGGGTCAGACTCTGTCTCTTCATCCGCCATCTCTGCCCCACCCTTTTCCCATCATGTCTCGCCTCCTGAGCTCCTGAGAACCCCCCACCCCGAGCCCGCTGTGGGAATTCATGTAAAAACACACATGTCGGAAAGATTTCAGCTGGCTGGCTGGCTGCCTTTGATTTTGATAGATTTCAGGAGTGCATGCTTTGGAAAGGCTTCAGAGACTTTCAGTATCAAGCCTCCCTGGAGAAGCATTACAACATGACCACCCAGTGAGAATGATTTTATGATGTTTGCCTGTCTATAGCCCACTGCTGGTTTCTTTACAATTTTTTGACAATTAACACAGTCACATGCACTCTATTAGTTCCACTGAGTTGGAGTCAAGACAGATTTATATAAAACTTAACTAGAGCTGAAGGCAGCACTGACCGGGCCCTCGTCTGGGCACTGTAAGGACGTGTGGTCGGGATGCTTAGCAGCTGCGGAGTGTGCGGCAGTGTCTTTATCAATGGCCAAAAAGGTTTTTAGACCAGCTTAGCCAAAGCTTGTTGTGTCTTACCACTAGGGGGTGCTATGACAATATTTCTGTTTTGACATGTAGACATGTGTAAAAGTTTACTGGAGTCATTAAAAAACCCAATTTCAACCTCTGCTGGTTCGTTTCAGCTGCTGTCTCTTTAAGGCCCCTCTCCCCATGTGCCCACTTTCTTCTGATTGGCCAGCTCTCTGGAAGCCTTCCAGGTAGGCAGAACGCTGCAGGGCTGCTCTCCAGTGCTGGGAGAAGAGAGTCTCTGTACTGTCAGAGGTTTCATCGTCTCACATCGAGGCTTCAAGCCGTCTCATGAAATACTTGGTTTCATGTCGGGGAACGATCAGGTTATTTGCAGAACAAGTCTTTTCGCGCCCTCTGCAGACTTATCCAACATATGTTTACCTCATGATCTGAAACACTTTATGTGAGTTTGAAATGGGGATCAGCAATATAGGTCAACTTTGAGTTAGAGCCACATCCTGCTGCCTGGTGTGAAATCCAGTTTGGGGGCCATTATGTCCACTCTTTTTGAGTGTTGTTAGTATCTTGTCATCATTAGGGTCTCCTCTACAGCAAAACTGAAGGTGATTTGGATAACCCCCCTATGGAGAAGTTAATCAAAATATGACCCCTGGAAACGGGCATACACATTTCTTGGAGATGATGGATTTTTTAAACTGGTTGGCTGTTTCCAAAAGCCATTCTTGCTTAATGTGTTGGTGCACTTGTTTAGAAAATGTGTAGGGGGCGCTGTGGAGGCATTTGGCACCACCCATTTGAGTCCATCAAATATAGAATATTAACTTTTGCCAATTTGGCAAGTTTGAGGAGTTTTTTTGAGCATGCTTAGGCCCACAGAAATTAGAGTCATTTGGCACTCCTGGACAAACTTAGATATGTCTCGAGGAATAGGATAATACATTTATTTTACTGACCCTGAAGCGACCCTTTACTGATAATAAAAACAAGTTAACTTGTGCATCAACAGATGTCTACTTTCTGGACTGATCCTGCTCCATCTGTGTGAATTTCCAGTATGTAAGAAGTGACTGAAAGAGACACTGAGAATAAACTGCTGAGTGTGTGACAGTTAAAACTCTGCTGATATGACGATGTCTATTAGCTCCCTGTGAGACGGACAGACCCTCTCTGAACATTTCAGTGAAGCCGACATGAAAGCAGAGGGAGGAGGTGTGAAACTTTTCATTCCTACGTAGCTGATATGATACAGTTTTTTTCACTAATGGGCATTTGATTGGATGCAAAGTATGAAAGAGAGAGAGAGAGAGAGAGAGAGAGAGCAGAACATAAAAGTAGAACACAGAAGGCTTTGGCAGCCGTACACTCCTGCAGGGAATTAAACTCTAAAAAAAAACACACAGGCGACGACTGTAGGCTCATTAAAATGCCCTCAGTTTGTTCTAGAAGAGCGGCTTCTCCTGCAGCCGAAAAATATCTGCAGATTAAATCATTCACAACCTGGTGAAGGGATGAGTCCAGGACACGACTCGCTATCTGCACACCATCACAGCGCCATCAGATCCGTAGAAAAACTGTGCATGTGCAAAAGTGCTGCGTGTAATATGCCGTGAACGCCGTGCCAGGGCCCCAATTACATTTAGAAACACGTCCCGCTCGGAGATGAGCGCTGAATAATGAACGCAGCCTCAGTTCACCCACATATATCAGACTCAGGGGAAGAGCGAGGTCATTTAAACCACAGTAATTATCAAATGTGCGCTTCTCGGAATCACAGCCAAAATTAATATCCTGAAATATCCTCCTGTGTTTAATTGGAGAAGGTCGCTTTCTGGAGGAGGACTCGCTTCAACATTTAATCAAACTTTTTCCTGCACTTAGCTCCAAATGCAGGAAAAGGAAAGTGCATGAAGCACAATATTCACACAGAGAACATCCATTTAAGTGCATCAGACCTCAAGAGTGAGCATGCTCTCTGAGGGGAAAAACACAAAGTGCACGGACACACAAAGCAGGCAAGGCGACACACGCAGCGCAGACCACATGTAGAGTGTAAAAACAGGATAGTCACCAGAGATTTACTAAAAAAACATGTTCAATTTCCTGAAGGATCTCAAGCTCTCTAAAGACGTTTCGGACCTCATCTCTCTCGATACACTGCTGCTTGTTCATGTACTTCATGGCGTACATCTTCTCCGTGTCCCGCTTCTGCACGATGCATACCTGCAAGAGAGGAACACAACAGAGAGGAAGAGGACATTTTAGTGCAGGAAAAACTTGTTTTGCATTTTGGAGGTTGTCACAATACCAAAACTTTTTCTGTTTTCCTAGATTTATTTTCCAGCTTATTTATCTTATTTTGATAGGAAGAGATAGGTTTAGTAATGAGAGAGAGAGAGAGAGAGAGAGAGAGAGAGCGGGGCGTGGCATGCGGGAAAGAAGCCACAGGCCGGACTCAAACCTGGCTGTGTGCTTAAAGGGCCTTAACCTCTGTGCGTTGGGTGCAACATAACCGCTAGGCCATCGACAGCTTGAATTTAAGACTTTTATACGATTCTGGTAAAAATCTAATATTATTACACCTTTCAATACCACAGCAACAACAACAACAACAACAACAAGTCCTAGGCTTCAAATATTGAGTCATTTCTTGTTTTTCATTACCCCCACAAATTGCAGAAAAACTCCATCAAACTGTCTTGATTGCACAAATACCCTGGCAACGTTTGGTCACAACATTTCGGCAGCTTGAAGTTAAATATATGATTAAAGATCTGTCAATTTTTTAAGCTTCTGCTCTCTTTGATACTAATGATGATTAAGGCCACTTTAACACAAACATGATCCACTGAAAATAAAGTTCTACATTCTGACTGCTTCAAACACGGATCCACATAAAGGCCTAAAAACACTAGTACAGTGATGACACAACAGGCACATGCGCACATGCTCCTCCTTCTTTCACAGAGCGCTGAGGTGTAAACAGACAAAATCCGCTAACACACAAACGTCTGTGTGGACGTAAGATGAGGTGGGGTCGTTACTCCAAATGACCCAAACATACTAAGCCTGTAAATTACAAGAATATGTCGACAGGGAGTCATGCCAGTACACATTTTCATAAACAAAACTTGTCCGCCATTGTTGTTGTAGTCCACCTAGTGATGCATGACTAAAGACTAAAGTCTCAGTTTTCAGAGGAGCTGCATATTCCAGTTCACGCGCGATGTTGTTTTTTAAAAGTTTGCATTTTCATGCACCAGAAACACTGTTGTCGTGTAAATAAACAGCAACAAAAAGTCACTTTTTTCACGGCTGAAATTGTTGGTGTGTAAACAGAGAGTACCTAAAATAACAGAGATTGTGTCATTTTAAGAAAAGTGGTTTCAAATTGTATCAAAGTATCGGACATTTTGACAAACAAAACCTGTGTTTGAATTAATAAAATAACAAATGTGCTTAAATGAACACTTGGTAAAGCAGGTTTGTGTTTGCAGAGAAAGAGAGTTTTCAGCACCACAAACTCTTTGACTCTACTGTGTGTTCATAGAGAGAGACGTTCTCAAACAGACCTGAGCATCTCTTAACTGTCGACTTCTGTCTCTGTGAAGTCGCTGAGAAGCTCTAATGAACTTCATGTCAGACACAAGAGCTTGTGGCAGAAAGCGCTTACTAACAAATCGGCTCATTCTTTATGCATGAGTTTGGAGGTTTTGTCAGGAAGCGTGTGTTAAAGGTCAGAAGCAGGACGAGACAGCGGAGAGGTCAGAGTCATTACGGTGACATTAAAGTCCGACTACGATCGTTATATACATCACGCGGGGGATCCTGAGCTGCACACATTCAAGTCTCAAACACTCCTAGTCGACTCAGGGAGATTTCGAATAAAATCAGCAGTTTCTTTGTCTTGTTGGTGTTAAAGTGGACCTTTATAAACTCCACATGAGCGTGACGACGGCTCGAGACAGAAGAAAGTGAAGCGGGGCGTCAGGAAACATCATTACTCATCACTGTAATACACTTTAAATGTGCCAGCCTTCGGTTCGGAGCGAAGGAAGCGGGTCAGAGTGGAATCTGATTACCGAGCAGCTGCATGTTAAGCACTCTCTGAATCTCCTCTTATTCCTCCACACAGTCTGAACTTTGTGCCGCAGGTAAACAAAGTGAATTTCAAACCTTCACTCAGGCAGAAAACTTGACATCATCGTTCACTGACACTGCTCTTCATGGAGAGAGGGAAAGATTTTCTTCTTGGCATCTGAAGGAACGCTCAATAAAAGTTGAAACAGAACCTCTGCCTGCCGTATCGTGATATATTTCCTACTGAAACGGGATAGCCAGTGATGAGCCAGACTTTTGTAACTGGGCTGGCTGAACCAGGCCGCGCCCTAACTTTTGTAGGGTTGGCTGGAAGTGCCAGGAATGCACAAACTCACCCTTTCTATCTACACAATAAAGTGGCAACATTTAGATCAATGATTCCCAAATTTCTGATAGTTTTCAACAAATCGGATGAGAAGTTGTGAAGTTTGGACCCCAGACGGTTCATGACTTGTTCATGACACTTCATGAACAAAGAAATGGAACTAACAAATTTCTAAAAGGAGCTAAAAGACTTTTTGACACCATTTTTTTTTCCAGACACACAAACACGATCCACCACAAACAGCTCCCAACGTCTGAAGTCAATATTTAAAAACTATCCAATCAAAACGGGCGACATTGAAATGCAAAGGAAGCTCCCAGCAGCCTGTTGTGACAAAGCCAAAATGGTAGATTTAAACACAAGCCCTGCCTCTGACAAGCCAAACAGCCAGTCATAGTTTGTTTCAATCAATCAATCAATCAATCAATCAATCAATCAATCATTATTTGTAAAGCACCAACTCATAACTTAAAATGTCTAAAAATGTAAATTCTGGTTGGTGTTTTTTTTTTTGGATTTTGAAAATTTCAAAAATCAGAGAATCGAAAAAGACCAAGTACTTTGAGTTTTCCTTTTGTATCGTTCATCACTAGAAGTACACTGAGTTACACAAGTCTATCATATTCCTAACATTTATATACTTAATTAATGTTCATTGTGTTATGCAATGTTTATTGTTGTATGTTGGATGTGAATGATGATGTGGATTGTTGTCTTTTTTATGGCTGCAGCATGGGTGAAGAGCCCAAGACAAATTTTAAAGCAACATTAAAGTTAATCTTGAATCTTGATAACAAGTGTTACCTCGAGACGCTTTACAAATAGAGCATATGGGATAATATGCAGGAAGGATTTCTCCTTTGTATTCCTCGCGTTCCTGTTGTCCACACTTCCTCGCCGCTGAGGTCGTAGCAGGCCGTGCATGAAGGAGGACGGAGGTGGTTTTGGGGATGACTCAGTCCGATGGTGGTCAAGGGACGTCGGGTGGTAGTAGTGCCCGATCACCCGGCTGAAGGTTAGGGGCGCTCTGTCTACTCAAGAGTCTAGCTTCTGCTGCCGGGACCTTTTGGGGAAGCAAATCTGATTTCTTGGGGGGGGGGGGCTATGACCACCTTTGGCTACCACCTGGGAATAGCCAATTGGTAAACTCATTGATTGTAGATTATAATTAACTGCTCACGTACTGAACCAGAGGAGTTTACTGCAGAAAAACTTTACATTTCCAAATCCTGCATTTGGATTTCTGGCCCCCCTATCAGCCCAACCATGCCTCCCTTTAGCCTCTTTTTCAGCCCTCAGCATGATATCAGCTCCAAACCCTCCCCTCGTGGAGCTCAGCACAGACCTAGTTTCTCTTTGCAGTTCGCCAGGCCGCTCTGCACCATCTGCACTGAGCTGGAAGGTAGGAAATATAAACTATAACAAACCATAGTCCAAAAGGTCGGCTACATATTCACAGCTTTTTATTTTTACTATGAGAAATAAGCCACATGCATCATAATAACCCATTTATGTTTTTCTCTTTCAGCGTGTGCATCATCTGGGAAGAAGAGTCAGTTTAAGGAGCGCCTTTAGAGGCTTAGGGTGTATTTTGGAAATCTTCTTTACTGCTCAGTTGGGAGTAAGAAGCAGTAAAGTAAGTCTCTTACAATCCAAGGAGACCTCCTCTGTGCACGCTAAAATAAAATCCAGATACTGTGTGCAAAGAAGAGACAGTAATGATGTGTGGAAGTAACCGCAGAGCTGATATATTTTCAGTATGAAGGGAACCTTATCTGGCTGCACCCAGTGGACATCACATTTACTTTCTTCTTCCTGCAGCAGAACACGCTTTACTCAGAGAAGTGATCTGTTAACTTGATGCAGCACAGAAGAAGGTGTTTTTTTTTTTTTTTTTAATGGTCTCCGCTCACAAATCCATAAGCAAGTGAGCGTAATGCAACTTTAAAAAAAAAAGTTTGAAGGGAAACGTTCTCAGTGAAGGATTATCGTTTTTAAACTCTTCTGGAAATCTGGTTTGAAAATAAAACACAAATGTGATACCACCACTTCATTCTTATAAAGCCTCCACAGAGACGGTGAAACTTGTATCTCATCTGTTGAGTCTGGACTTCACAATAAACTGGTAAATCTCTATCTATACGTGGACACATTTAGTCTGCAGAACAAGAGCGCAGCAGATAGCGGAGGCAGTGATTCATGGTGCTTTCAGCGGCTACAAACCACGCTTTGTAAGAGGGTCGTCTTGGATTTGGGTTTTCAGAAGCTTCAAATAAGCACCTCGTCGTCTCAGAGCTTAATGATGAGAACTGTAGAGAGTACGTCTTCAATCTTGTGCTAAAATTATGAAAATGTTTTGAACAACCTAAAGTGTGTCCCTGTGTTTGTATCAGTGTTCATCAGACGACATCGTTCAGCTTCTGTCTTCCTTACCTCTTCAATTTTTCATGTCAGTTCATTCACATGCAGGATGTGCACTTACGGTGGCTCTCGAGGTTCAAACTGCCAAACCTCTTTGCCCTTTAGTGGCTAATGTGTCCCTCTGGACCAAATAAAAACTAAAAAAATCATTATCTCAACTCATTAACTCTCTTACTGCTCTTACTGCTGCAGCTGTAAGAAGAAAGCCTCCTAATATCTGTAGTACCTGTCTTTACATTATCTAAACGATCTGATGAGAAAGAAATGTGCACATTTTTATTCTTTGAATGATACGTTTCTGATTTTAATGATGACTTAATCAGCAGTCTCCATAATTCAGAAGTCGGTCTGAAGTTTTTAATGGACTCGTTACAGC